AGATACTAAGTCGCAATACAAAGTAAATCATGTAAATTTTACATAAATAAAACGAAGACTATTTATTATGGTTTGCTAAATCATAATTATTACATAAAGGGTCATAATTGTGAGATTAAAAATCAAAATTATGAGTCAAGATTATGAGAAAATATGTCAAAATAATGACAACAAAAACATTAATGACATAAGTCAAACCTATGACATACTAACTCATAATTATGAGCTTAAAGGTCTACATTGTGAGACGAAAAGTCATAATTATAACAAAAAGTCAAAATTGTGACATAAACAATTATGATAAAGTCTGAATTATGAGATGATAGTAAATCTTTTTATTCCCATAATTGTCAGTATTTTTTTTTTCATGGACGACACTGTAATGTCTATATTACGTTACTAAAATTACTATACTACAATAACAAATAAATAAACCCATGTAAGTTACAGGAAGTACAACAAACTTTACCACGATGTATAAATACTTTACACAGAAAAAACTATTGAATTAAATTATTTATTTACTTACTTATGTATTATATATGTATTTATTTTGAGCTTTGGCTATTTGCATCAGTGTAAATAGACACTGCCTAACTATGTGCATCGTGAGAATGAGATGTTTGCATAACAAGAAACTGTCTCGAAAATATAATATAGCAGGTCTTTTATATACTCTCATATTGATTTGGGGGGAAATATGACCATTGGAACATGGCACTCATTCATAACGTGGTCTTCTCTCCATCAAATCTGTTTATGATGATTTGAATAGATTTAGTGTACACATGATATGTTTCTATACAAATAGGTTTCCGTTTTCAAACTCAGCTTCTCATTCATAAATAGCATCAGATAGTCACTGTTACTATGGTTACCTTACATTTCAGCACAGCACGAGACCAAGGAGCTCTACAAAAAACTTGTGACTTGCATGCATCATTTGCGCCTGACGATTTACGACGTCTGTTCGGGCTTCGCGACGTGCTGGCTCGTTTTGCGGCAGGTCGCTCTCTCTCTCTCTCTCTGAAGTTCAGAAGTCAGCAAAACAACAACACGTGAGCGTGACATTTAGCAGTCAGTTATGAATAAAGGTATGATTATAGACGATCACAACACAGGATCTTAGCAGAGAAAATGGTAAGTGTTTCCTCTTTCACCGTGACGCGATTTTTGATGCTTTTATTAAGCAAATTAAAAGCAAAAGAGAGCTAGCGTTAGCACATTGCTGCTAACTTATAGTGACATTCAGTGCTGTTATAGATTGACAGCCTGAGCAAATAATTCATGTTTATAGATATTTGCCATTTGACATATAAATACATTCAAAGTCTGTTTATTAAACATAGTATATGTCATTTTCACACTATAAAACATAAAGCTTCAAGTGAAACTTGTGCAATCTGTATATGGGTTAATATTGTATGCTACTGTGGGATATGATTATGATACATGTGATGAGAAATAGTCTGTATATAAGCGATGTGTTATGATTGACGTGTGTGGTGTGTGATTGTATTAAATAATGCAAATTGCCTCTCAATTAATGCAAATTGCACAATCAAGGGTTATTGTTTAATGTATTTTAGGCTAGTACCATGGTGGCCGTGGGCCTTACCCTGGCAGCAGCAGGGTTTGCAGGTACAGTTCCAGCACATTATGACAAATCTGCACTTAATAACGTATTTTGAAATCAGAAAATATGTACAACTGAAAAAGTTGAAATTTTAGTGTCTTCAACCGTTACTTCACATTTACTTTATCTTACTTTACAGCATTTACATTTCCACCAAGTTTAGTTCCACCATTACACAACAGTTTAGAGTATATTACAGTGTAGTTGTTATTAGTAATGGTCATTAATTTGTAGTCATAGAATATGTACAGCTGACATAGTTGAAATTTGTGTTTATTCAATCCTGTTATGCCACATTTTAGGCTTTTCTAAAATCTGCTTAGGGGCCGTTCACACAGAATGCATTTTTTTTCCTGTTTCTTATAAGAGCACGTTGCAGTTGTTATCTGTCCTGATAACTATAGCGATAATGAGAATCTATTAAAGAGTTTTAATCATTCTAATTCTTTGAGAATAGTTAAGTCCACACTGTAACTATAATGAAACATGGAAGCATTTTCAGAACAACGATAGGTACAGCTGTCGAAGAAGAAATTTAAATGTTTCTTCAACCCTGTTATTCCACTTTTTATTATTTATTTTAGTCTGCTTATTTTACTTTACATTACGTACATTTCCACCATGTTAGGATCCACCCTGTTACATGGCTTTTAATAATGGTCATCAATTTATAATCGGATATGTACAACTGACGGGGTATACATTTGAGTATTCAGCCCTGTTACACCACATTTCATCATATATTTCTAAAGCATTTTCACTGTCAAGTTCCATCCTGTTACTCAATATAGAATATTATAGTGTTTGTTTTAATAACGTATTTTGAAATCAGAAAATATGTACAACTGAAAAAGTAGAAATTTTAGTGTCTTCAACCCTGTTACTTCACATTTACTTAATCTTACTTTACAGCATTTACATTTCCACCAAGTTTAGTTCCACCGTTACACAACAGTTTAGAGTATATTACAGTGTAGTTGTTATTAGTAATGGTCATTAATTTGTAATCAGAGAATATGTACAGCTGACAAACTTGAAATTTGAGTGTTTATTCAATCCTGTTATACCACATTTTAGTCTTTTCTAAAATCTGCTTAGGGGCCGTTCACACAGAATGCATTTTTTTCCCTGTTTCTTATAAGAGCACGTTGCAGTTGTTGTCTGCCCTGATAACTATAGCGATAATGAGAATCTATTATAGAGTTTTAATCATTCTAATTCTTTGAGAATAGTGAAGTCCACACTGTAACTATAATGAAACATGGAATCATTTTCAGAACAATTTCTTCCAGCTGCTGAACGATAAAAATATCGACAGCCAATTAGAATCCATCCTGATTTAAAGCACTCAAACATTTAAAGCGGCAAACAACATCAATGCATCACATCCTTATAATAAATGTTAAAAATCCATTGGTGTGGATGCTAATAGTTAATGTTTATAGTTTTCGTTCTTTGTATGAACAGGCCTTTATGTTATGGCAGTAGTGAGGACTTCACTATTCTCATAGAACTCATTTCATCATAATTGCATAATACTTCTAGGATTATTTGAACTTTAAATTTATTGTTATAGTTAACGTCTTTAGTGTGAATGAGCCTTTAATCTGCTTTCGGAGTCAGAAACATGTTTAGGTAGATGGTAATCTAATCCATATTAAATATCATAAGATTAAAGGGACTGTACACAAAGTTTGACCCATGTGTATTTCTTTAAAAAGTTTTCATTCTCTTTCGTTTAGTCCTACCGCTAACAAAAACAAGATCAGAGAGGCACACAGAAAACTGATGATTTTAAACCATCCTGACCGAGGTGAGACTTCATGTTTCGTACAATGCAAAACATACAGAACTCTGCAGGATCTGAGTTCCTCTGAGCTGTCGGTGTTGTTTGTGTTTCTTCCGGCAGGCGGATCCCCGTATCTGGCGACAAAAATCAACGAGGCTAAAGATTTACTTGACGGACAGATGAAGAAATAGATCTTCATCAAATGCTTGAACGAGCTCTCTCTCTGATGCACTTGAATTCTTACATGATCATTAAACACCATGCTGTCATCTGGATCTGATCTCCTTTGTATGAAAATGAATCAATTTACACCTCAGCTGAATGTGGCAAAAATCTGATTCATTTCAATTGTTGCAAAATCTACATGGGGAATCTTTTGCCCTCATGCAAAATTCCCAACCACATGGTTGAAATGTTTGGATTTCACCCATTCAGATTCACCAAATAACTTCAAACTTTACCACACTTTTACACAAAGGAAAGCTGAAAGATTCAGAAGCCTTGTCTGGACAGGAAAGACCAAAACACCTGATACAACTATGAAAGGTTGGCTGGAAGATCAAATGTTTATTTATGAACTACCTGCATACAAAACATATTGCACACTTAAAAAACAAAACAAAAGGACTAACGAACGTAGTTTACAGAACAGAACAGCTGGAAATTGATTTTTCAGTAGTCCAAAATTTGTAATCTGCGTGCCAAGAAGTTCAGGCAGTTTAGTGTTAAAATCCACTGCGTTGTTAATTTTAAATACTGTACATTTTAAAATAAATAAACCAAAAACTAAAAAAAAAGGCTCCTTTAGCGAAACAGTCTCGGTTGCCACCATTACAACAACCCAACAGGCAAAAAATGAAACCCAATCAATCGTTCAGGAAGTGTTGTGCATACAGCATTTAAAATGGACAGTTAGCAGACCAGTTTCCAGACTAACATTATTCTAAAGGTCAAGAAATGACTATTCAGTGCAAAACATCCTTTTATCCCCATAACCCCTCGTGAAGAAGTGGTTGCATATTAAAACGTAACAAAAAGCAGCGAAGGATGTCTGGGAGTCTTTCTGTATTCAGAAATACAGAAAGTATTCTGGTTTTTTTCTGTTTGTTTGCTATATAGCCAGCCAACAAAATGTTGAAACTACGCTCTGAAGGCACAGCATCCGATCAGGAATACAGGTGTGATGTAACGTCTCGGTTGCCACCATTACAACAACCCAACAGGCAAAAAATGAAACCCAATCAATCGTTCAGGAAGTGTTGTGCATACAGCATTTAAAATGGACAGTTAGCAGACCAGTTTCCAGACTAACATTATTCTAAAGGTCAAGAAATGACTATTCAGTGCAAAACATCCTTTTATCCCCATAACCCCTCGTGAAGAAGTGGTTGCATATTAAAACGTAACAAAAAGCAGCGAAGGATGTCTGGGAGTCTTTCTGTATTCAGAAATACAGAAAGTATTGTTTTTTTCTGTTTGTTTGCTATATAGCCAGCCAACAAAATGTTGAAACTACGCTCTGAAGGCACAGCATCCGATCAGGAATACAGGTGTGATGTAACGTTTTTTTTTCCATCTCATAATTTTTTATTTTTTTTTCCATTGTAATTATCTGTTCCATAGTGAAGGAACTGAAAAGTGCAATCGAGATTGTGGAAGTCCGTACGTCTATCTTTGGCAAGCTTGTACAAGCACTATTGTAAAATTGTAAAGGTTACGAGTTTGGAGATATGAAGCGAACTGGTTAGGAGACTCCGTTGATGACGGCTGGCTTGGCTTTGGGTGTCTTCTCAGCGGAAGCTCGTGGCGCTCTGCTCTGATCATCTGCTTTGGTGGAGCCATTGCTCACGGCTTCAGCCGGGCTGTGCTCCGATATGAACTCCACTTGACCCTGTGGACGACGCAAAACAGCTGCGATTACAAGCAGAGCTCTTCACGCAGCTTTCATCTAAATACAACACCTCGAGTTTTCATGACTAGTCCAGTTGTTTGTGGTGATTACTGAAGATGGGTTTATAAAAAATTAAATACTTTAAAGCTGAGCAACATTTTTCAAGACTTTCTCAGCAAATATTTACAGGTTTCTGATGACTGAGGGAAACCTGTCTACATAGCTTCAGAGTAGAGATGCACCAATATTTAAAAAAACATATAATACAATTTTAGGCCACATTACAGTAGATAACTGATAAATAAGCAATATTATGAAAGGAAAACACTTTGTTAAAAACTGAAATAAAATGGTTTGTATATGCTACAAGTTCATTCAGCCATTACGTTGGTATAATTGAGATACTATTATTATTTTAAATTCAATACAATTGTTTTAAATTAGTTTTTATTTTTGTATTTTCTATTTTGACCGTTTTTGTCATTTTATTATTATTAATTTTTAATATGTCTATATATTTTTTTATCATTATTATTAATTATTAATTTAGTGTTAGTACGTCAAGTTAACAAAATGAAAAATGCTGCCTTGGCAACAAACTGAAACAAAACATATATATATATATATATACATATATATATATATATATATATATATACACATAAATATGAAAAACATGTTTTAGTTACAATTTATTATAAGTAACTTTTTGTTTGTTCGTTTTAGTTAACTAAATTAACCTTGATGACAACATGATAAAGTACTGCACGAAAAATGTATAAATATTCCTTTTGTCATTTTATTAGTGTTTTTTTTATATGTCTATATAGTTTTTATTCATTTTTTATTTAGTTTTAGTACATTAAGTTAACATTGAAAATGAGAAATGTTGTCTTGGCAACAAACTGAAGAAATAACCCTGATCACAAAATATTGCACTGCACAAAAAATTTATAAATATACAAATCAGCTATAGAAAAAAATTTTATGAATTGTAAAATAGGAGTTAAATAGTACATCTTTGCCACAATCACTTGCTAATAAGCAGAAACAATTAAATATCCATTATTGGCCAGAAAATATCCAATATAAACATTAATTAATTATATATATATATATATATAAATGTCTATAATTATGATTAAATATCATAAATGTTGTGCACCCCTGTTCTTCAATTTAAAACTAATCACAGAGATGGATAAAAGAAGGAATATAGAGTCACCATGTCCTTTTTGTTCTTCCTCAGATCTCTTGGGTTCCTCTGTCTGCTCTCAGATTCGGCTCGTGATATGTAGTCAGCCACCGTAACTGCAAGAGACATCAATGATTTCATTAGTAAAAGAGCTTTATAATTATAAAATGAGGGTGAAATAGCTTTGCGTGAGGAACAGACCAAAAGATAAGCTCTGAAAATGTTCCTCTGCCGGAGCTCTCACATCTTACGCTTCCATCTGGTTGCGGGACGCAGGAAAGTTTAAACCTGGAAGTTAACCATGATCCGATATGTGAAGTCAGAGTATGTGCACGGACAACAGAGATATGAGAGCTGCGGCGGAGAGGAAGATTCAGCTGGACGATTTCTCTGTTCAGGGTTCGGAACGACATGTCAGTAAATTAATATCACAATCCTGTAGGTAAACCACTCCTTTGAGGCAGAAGACCGACATGTGTTTGCATAAACCATGCAGATCAATGCCTACAGCATTAAAAACAATGTTATTTGCAATTGTGAAACCAGTGCACATTCAGAAGTTCCATCCAATTTTGGGATGTTATTTCATGCAGATGCCTGTTACAAATGTAACAAACCGCTGACAATAACTTTCCTCAAGAGAAAACTTAATTTATTTGCCACAGGATGCTGTTTGATCGTGTGGGTTTCATTTGAAGTCCTGATGTTATTCCAGGCGGTCAGTGCCATGCAGTTTGGATTAACACTCGCTTGAACACAAAGCCCGTGTTAATTCATAACTCGGTACCTGGCTGCCTCTCCTCAGGAGGCTGGAAACGGCGGCGGCGGCTACGATTGCGCCGCTGGGGTTTAGCTTCAGCATCATCTACAAGAGACCGGGAGACCTTAAATACTGACAGCCGTTTTGGAAAAAGCCTATCGAGCAACTTGCAATTTGTGGAATTTGTCATGTTATCAACTAAGTCATATGAAAAAGTATTAAGGAGCACCTGACCCGATCAGGATACCGGTGTTTGCGCTCAGGGGAGCTTCAAAGGTTTCTATTTACAACGTGTTTTTGCAGCGTTGAGTAATGTATCAGACATATCTGTTGATTCCTCGAACACAATGCTAATCAGAATCCAATCACTGCTCAGGTTTTGTTCAGTGCTGAGTTCTGCGAGCTCACCAATCCTCTCATTATAACAAAGTTTTGTCCGACTACAAAACCATTGCCTGATTTTGCTCTATTTCGTCAACGGAAATAGTTTCAAACAAAGTCACAGCTGAGCCTCTGCGCATCTCCGAGCAAACACAGAGGTGTTTCGTTTATGAATGAACGAGCGTTTTTAAACGAATCTAGTGAGTCAATGATTCAATCACCTATTCATCACTTGCTTTGTTCCTGAAGGAATCAGCTGTTTGAACGAATCGATTGAATGAATGATTCAGTGATAAAATCAGTGACTTGCCGCCACCTGCTGGCAGTTTTAGTTTAATTTCAGTTATTTAAATCATTTAATATTTCAATATTCAAAATTGTATATTTAAAACAATCTCAACATGAATTTATGAATATAATTGCCACCTCTGAGCCTCATTAAACATCTGTAAATATACCTATATGCCACTTGTGTGTTCTTCTGTGCCGCTTCTGTAGTGGAAATGAAATTTGTTAATACTGATTTCATGATCGCTAACTTATTCTTCTTACTCTATTGTTTTAATTGGAAATTTTGAAGAAAGCTTATAAACGCAAATTTTTTAAATTTTACGTAAAAGATTACATACTTTCAAATAAAGTTACAAAAAATGCCATCACAAATGTAACATTTTAAAAAAATGCCCGTGTAAATCACTTTAAGGAGTCAAATATCACCTCGTAATGGGAAGGCTAATTTTTGTTATGATCTGAAATTTTTTAATTAGGAGCACAAAAGAAAAGTAAGCAAAGAGCCCTGTAAGATTCTCAAGATTTTTGTCTCTTCTGCTCACCAAGACTGCATTTACTTAATAAAAAAAAGAATACAGTAATATAGTAATATTGTGAAATAGTATATTTTAAAATAGCAGTTTTCTATGTGAATATCTGTTTTAAAAATTTATTTTATCCCTGTGATCAAAGCTGTATTTCCAGCATCATTACTCCAGTCTTCAGTGTCACATGATCTTCAGAAATCATTCTAATATGCTGATTTGCTGCTCAAGAAACATTTCTGATTATCAATGCTGAAAACAGTTGTGCTGCTGAATATTTTTGTGGAAACCAACCTTTTTTAATTCTTTGATGTTAGAAATCTAGAAATAGAAAGTCATTTATATTTACAGAAAAAAAGAGGAGAGAATTTGTTCCTGCAGAAAATTCTAGCTGTTGGCTATCGACACTTTTTAAGTGGATTGTACAGTTTGTACTTTTTTTCTGTAGTATTATTTATAATTGTGTGGTTCTAAATAAACTGCGAACAACTGTTGGTTTAGCAATTTGTATATGTATTGCAGTTGACTTGATTTGGTTGAGTAAAATGCAGTGAAGCTCCTCCTACTGATGTGCTTACCGAGACCGTTTTCGCTGAGGGAGGTGTTGTCGGACTCGCTCATGCCGTCCATGACTGTGCTGTCTTCATCTGTGCGGCGACGACGGGAGCGCCTGCGACGGCTGCTGTTCATCTGGGACTCACTGGCATCTGTGTCCGCTGTATGATCCGTCTCGGTGTCATCCAGCAGACTATATGGATTTCCATCGGGATCTTTCAGGACTGACACGAAAGACAAGAACTAAAATAAATACTTACTGGGCAATGTAACATGCAAGGACAAAAATGTATTAATTAATTACAGAGCAACTAGATTTGTAAAAAGATCAAAAAGATTTCAGAGGTGCTAATCTGTGCAAAACTTTTGAATGTATTAATAGTTTTGTAAATTTGGTTTTAAAATACAGATGCTATCAAATACTAAATTTGAAATATTTAATTTAAATTAAAAATTATTTTATTAAAAAAAAAACTAAAATACTGCTTTGAAACAATCCAATATACTACATACTCATCCAATCTACTCAGACATATTCAAACATTACAGAGCCACATATATCACATGGAAAAAAAAAAGGTTTGTTCCCTTAACTTATCAATTTGTGGAAATGTTTTATTAAAATGTTCCAGCAATTTAGTTAAACTTTCACCACAACATAACTTGTTCTCTCTTTTTAGGTAAATCGTGGCCATGTCTTACTATTCTTAGAGCCACAATTTAACTAAAACGAGGGAATTTTTAATTTATGGTGTCATTTTCCTCCTCCATAAAACATAAATCTTTGTGCCTTATGATTTCTGTGATGCCGAAAATGCGGATGGAAAGCCTTTACTACAACCCGCTAAAATAAAAGTTTGGTTTACCTTGAAGATATAAAAGACAGAAATATATTACTATTGTACAGTAAAACATCTCAATACTTTTTATTTTTTTTATTAAAAGGGTCATATGATGCTTTTTTAAAGAGCATTATTTTGTGTATTTGGTGTAACAGAATATGTTGACATGCTTTAATGTTCAAAAAACACATTATTTTTCAAATACTGTACATTATTATAGGTCCTCTACCCCCCGCCTCTCTCAAACGCTTCGTTTTTTACAAAGTCTCTCCTTCCGACAAGCGCAGTCTGCTCTGATTGGCCTGCTGACCCAGTGCATTGTGATTGGCCGAACACCGCAAGCACTCGTCGGAAATGTAACGCCCCTTACCATAATCGCGAGCTTCATCTTTCAAAATAAATGTAAAGACAGAGCCCGAAAGGGGAACAGAGTCGCGTGACAGACACAGTGATGAAGCTGGTATGTGTTTGCAGTACACAAGCCACGGTTAAGACAGCTGACTCTACTGTGATGTGACCCCCCCACCCTCTCTAATATTTCCACATAGTGAGGTAGATATGTGGGGGCGTGTTAGAATGAGCCATTTTAGGGGGGTGTGGCAGAGTCTTAACTTTGATAAAGAATATCTCTTTGGTTTTGAGACTTTAGTCTTTGCAACTTCAGGGATCTTATCTATGCACAATCAGCTTGTAACACTCCAAAGAGAAAGGAAAACTTGAAATCGCATCATATGACCCATTTAAGGAACATCACAAATGTTCAAAAATTCTCTGTTGTGCCAAAAAACAACCAAAGTTTTACACGTTCATTTGATTACCACTGTTTTTGATAATAAATTCATATCGAACCATGAAAAATAATTTAAAAAAAATATGCATAAATAAATAAAACAGCTAATTTCTCAAAAAATAAAATTTCATTTAGCAATTAAATTTATATTGTTAAAACATCAGTAAATTATTTAATGTTAAAGCTGAATGAATTTATTTGATTAGACATGGTTTCTGATTTATTTAAACCATTAAAATGGAATCCAGAAAGAGACAGACTTTAGGACAAAATAAAACTGATTTCATGAAGCCCTAAAATCTGGTGAATAAAGTGTGTTGCTGCTGAAGGGCAGAAGGGAGCCAGTATACCTGAGCTAATGGAGCTGGACGGCCCTCTGCCGCGGCCCCGGCGCTCTCCTGCTCTCCTCCTGCTGTCCCTCTGCTGTCTGGGGCTGTGCTCGGGCTCCTCTCCTGCCATGGACCAGTCACTCAGCTCCTCCTTGCGCTCAGAGTCGGTCTCCGAGGCGTACGAGTGCTCGGAGTTAGTGCCTGCAAAATAGGTTTCATTTAATTCATGTAAAATATAATTTCCTCCAAATATGTGACCCTGGAGCACAAAACCAGTCATTATCTTGCGTTGACTGTGGACTTCAGAAAACACAGTGGACCAAAGTCCTCTTTTCAGATGAAAGTCAATTTTGCATTTCATTTGGAAATCCAAGGTCCCAGAGTCTGGAGGAAGAGTGGAGAGGCACAGAAACCATGTTGCTTGAGTCCAGTGTGAAGTTTCCACAGTCAGTGATAATTTGGACTGCCATGTCACCTGCTGGTGTTGGTCCACTGTATTTTCTTAAGTCC